AGTTCAGGATCATCACTAAAAGACAGTAATTTCTGTCTTTAAAAAAATCTCAATTTAAAATATAAGTGTAGATAAAACGGTGTCTTAAAAGGCACACAGACTTTTATGAAACTAAATAAAGGTTTCGGCATTATATGCGCAATTAAGGAATTGTATTTATTAAGTTTTATATAACTGGATATGTCTGTAAATCTGGCATAACTAATGAATACTAATATATTATATACCTATTTCAAAAAGGTTGTCGGATAAAATGGCGAATCACAATGGTCGAATGGCGATTGCACGACCGAAAGTAGCCATGGGTAACAACTGATTTATACTGTAAGATAAATATTAATGTTGTAAATATAGAGTGAAGGCATTGAACCCGTGAAATAAAAGTAAATACTTAAACTGTAATAGTCAAATAGACACAAAAGAAAACAATGGAATTATCAAGTAATAACATGTAATAGTGAAATATGTATTTCACGGGTTCATTGACTTCACTCTATTAGCTCCATTTAGTCTCCATTCTTTGCAAGGTGAATTCAACAAGTGAAATTTTGTTTATCAAAACAGTGTATCATAACTCCTTTCGGTCGTGCAATCGGCGTTCGATGTTCTCCATACGACGAGGTTTTTTGAAATATGTGTTTAATAAATTGTGTTTGTATGATGAAACATTTCCCTCCTGATCTGTTGTACCAATTTTTTCCTCTCCATGATATAATCTTTCAACATTTTTTAAGATTTTGAATAACTATAGTATTATATTGATAAATCTAGGATTGTTARCTATGTAACTTATTTTTCAATAAATGTTATATTTCTATTAAAATATCGTGGATTGTTATTTTATCGGCTATAATCATTCTGCAAAGATTAAAAATGAAGTTTTCAATTGACTTCTGAAACTTTTACGTCACCTACTTCATTCTCGATGCTCAGTTGGATCAGTTTCTAGATATAACAAAAGAAATCCGCCATGTTTTGTTACAAACATATCCTATACAATRCATTGCGGTCATATGACGTTAAAGCTCCAAAGGTCTATAGCCTGACTAGAAATGGAAACAAAAAATAACAAACAAGCAATGAACACAGGTTTTTTGTTTATTTATCAATGTTGACTCGCACTTCAGCACTTAATTTCAAGTACAGGGAACTGACTCATTATAACGAGCCACGTAAATAGTACTAGAGTTTATAGGGACTTAAAAAAATCCACTCCCAGTGAACGAGGACGATGATGGGGATGAAAGAAACTGCAACATGAAAACTCAAATTCGCTCCGTGAGGTGGAACTGAGAACTCCTATAAATCGGTATATCTTTAAGAGGAATATAAATCTATAAAATCGGAATATCTTTAAATCACCGAGTGATCTACAGTATATTTTAAAAAGTTTTTGGACAATCAAAGTCGAAGCTGGTTTCTTTAAGAGTACATTTTTATACTTGACTAATGAAGATAATTTGACTTTGTTGAAACATTCAAACAGAAGGTTAGGGTTTGTTTTTGTCTCTAGAATATTGAAAATGCTTACCAATATATAGCTTTGTTCATTGTTTAACTATTATGTTTTAGTTGTTATTGTGTTTCCACAAGAGGTTCTTGAGGGTATCTTTTATTATTATTTTTTTCAAAAAATTTTCGACGATCATTCCCATCTTAAATACGAGGGAATACCCCTTCACAGCTTCCCCTGTGCATCGTCGTCCTTCGCTGTCGTTGTCGTCGCTGCGAAACGTCTCTCTAATGATTCAGACAGCGCGATTTCGATTTGAATCTGAATTTTGATGTATGTTAGACATTTGACGCAGGCAAATCCTTGAGTGTTTCCAAGTCTGATGGCTCAATGGTAACTCGYGGATCTTTGTCATTGGAAGTATCTAATGTTAGACATAAACAGAAAATGAATAGAGTGTCAGGTCGAATCTATCAAAATTTCCCATGGTTTGGTTGCCAGACAAGGTATCAGGGAACATATATACATTTTGAAATTTAACAACCTAGCTACAATCTTGGACATAAATGTTGACAATTTATCGCGCGCACGACTTTGCTCACACTACTCGTGGATAAAAGCATCCCCGCGTCCCCCTTCCCCCAATACAATGTTGTGTGACTGTTTTCTCATGCTCTGACCATTCATGAACCCGCGTATCTACAACATTGCAGTGGGAGGGAGGGGAGGGTGGGGAAAAATAAGCATGACTTACAAGAGATACCGCATTTCTTGTACCAAAGTGAAAAATTGTCAACTATTTATGTCCACGATTTTGTAGCGGCTGTTTTCGTTTGTTTTGTGTCGTTTTGTTTGTAAGTTGTTCTTGTTCTTGTTCAATTGGTGTTCACGCAGTTGTTGTCGTTTTTTGGTTGTTTTGCTGTTCTTGTAGATGCTATAAGTTGTTTGTTTATTTAGTTGGTTGTTTTACTCGCTAATTATTTATGGATTAAACATTYGTCGCTTCTTTTAGGCTAAAATATCTTAATTRCCCAGTAAAAACCATTGGACCTTCCATTTCCAAGTAAAACATTAAAAGCTATCTACATACCTTGGTCTAAAACTGGCTGACGGAGAATTTCTATATGCTTTATATAAGTTGAARCACGTTTTATCTTTTCTGCTTCATTTCGATCTGAGTAAACAACACTCACTTTATAAATAATGGATGTTAGTAGAAAAAGCCTTTTCACTAAAGTAATCGACGCAAGGGAAGACGTGAGAAAARGATGGATGAGAAGGAAGGTTTACTTGTAAAACTTCAAACCAGCGGGGCGAAGAATTTCGAAAAACATACCTTCCTGTTGATTGATTTGCATTAAAACTCTGATGATGGCTACTACAACCTGCATTGCAGGAACGTAAAATAAACTAATTCGAAGAAAATCCCCAGTCTGCTTGGATACGACATGGCTGAAAATCAAGCATATGTTCAGATCKAAGCACGCGCRCTTGCATTCTTGTAGAGTCTACTCAATTGACCTTCACGGTTCCCTATACGMCATCTTGAAAGCGTGCCTTCGCATCGAGGCAAGGCAACCATTGGATTTCAATGATAGATTCCTGTAAATAATTGACTGTAGGTGAGTGGAAAAAAGATTCTATAATTGCACACTCAACGGTCGTCTCGCCTCGATGCAAAGGGACGATTACCTTTCAAGATGGCGCCGAAGACCCTTGAAGGAAACTGTTCAAAAATTAACGTCAAACCTTTTGTTGTGTTCATCTGGAAATGCCTGCATTATAATAAACACCACAACGCCGTTCCACAATTCATCCATTGCTCTCATAAAATCATCTGTATCGCGAAAATGTAARCCAAGGTCTTCAGATGAGATCAACAGCATCATATGYGACGTCACGATCATTATACAGCTACAAAAACCAAACGCCAAGGCGGGAAAATACARCAAGTCACTCAACCTAACGGACTGGCTTARAAACCAGATCCCCGCGGCCAGAGTAAATCCAGCGCATGTGCAGTATAAACCCTGCAAAAGTAACAAGAAGTAATTATATTAGATGGTGTTTGGTATTATGTTATTATAGTTTAATAGAAGGCGCGCTTTTTGGTGAAGTTTTGTATTATGACTTTTGTCTGTGTGAAGTATTTGTACTGCTGGTACGAAAGATGATTGTACTAAAAAACCATCATTTCCAACTGTTGTTTGTTGTGGCTTTGTTGTGTGATGTCTGTAAAACAATAATTAAAGTAAGCAAAATCGTAGTAACCCCAAAAATGCGCTTTGTGCCCTTTCCGGCACACAATTTTACTTAAAAGTCATTCTCAAAAAGAAATGCGGTGTACGTTTTAGAACTCGTTTGACAGACAATTTCTGTTCAAGAAAGATGTCTATATGCGATAAGTGAGCTTTGCAAGTTTATTCAGTAAAAGCGAGAGAAATGAAATTCGAAATTCCAATAACAAATTCGATGTCACGAAATTAAATCGTGATTTAATTTTTTTTTGTTCTTAGATTTCATATAACCGCTACCTTAATATAATATCTCTGCATTCATTAGCTATCATTATTTTGAATTACCTTATAACCATACGTCATAACAAGCTTCTTAGCTGTTAGACTGCCGATTGAAAATCCGCCGAAAACCACAGTAGGGAAGTTTGCTACAGACAACTATAAGATTACAACATGATAAGATTGATTACAGTATAACGTTTWATAATCAAGTCAATTTGGAACACCTCGTGCAATCTGACGATGGTCTGCTAGTAGCATTCTAGGATAGGGTGAAGGTATGTGAAAAAGGATAATTTAAAACTAAATAAAAACGATTTTTTTACTCAATTCATTATATCTTTCAAACGCAGAACGACTCGCGCGTGAGATCTAGTGTTCGTGATACTACGCCCACTGGCCAAATTTGTCGCAACAAACCATTCGAAGTTATCGTGATTGGTTTATAAAACAATGGACAAACAGTAGATGCTCTTCCAAACAATGAAATAAAGCCTAACTTACAGCAATGGGGGTTCTGTACTAACGATGCAATCACTGAACAAGATTGCTTCGAGGTGTTCGTGACAACCACGAATTTAATAGTTTTGCCCTTTCAGATAATGAATATTTTAAATTACTCTATGTTTTTGGTCATCCCCTTAGTTCCAAGCATTATCTAAGCATTATCATATTTTCTATACAGTTCTATATGAAACTGTTTTTTTTTTCGCTCCTGATCTCAAAATACCGATAATCTCAGGCATTCAATATGGCGGCTATACTGACGTAACGCACAAAGGCACAAGTGGTTGTAGTGATTGTATCAGATAGACTGTTCTTACCTTGTTGGCTTTCATTGGCTCGATTAAGTAGACAGGTAGAAGTAAYAGTACGATGTTAAATGTGTTTGTACTAAGTACATGGATAAATACAGCCTGTARAACAAGCAATCAAAGTCGTGAGATAATTACAAGCCTCTAGAAGGTTTCCAGCTATCAATTCATCTTGAGTTTTGTCTAGGCCAAGAAGAGTGTACTTTTATAAAAGACAACAAAGTTTAAACGGATAGTACGAACTGCGTTGAATAAATGTATGATAATAATCAAAACGAATATTCGTAAATGGATCGCCCGAAAAAATTTCGGGCGACAACGGGAATCGAATTGAACCCATGACTTCTACGATACCGGTGCAAGAAGACAAGAAGATAAACAAGATGAGCTGTGCATGTACGTTTACCAGTATTTTAAGTGATAAATTAAATTGTAACTATTGCAAAGATGCGCTAACACAAATAACCTATGATCACGTGGTTATTCTGACGTTTTAGCAAACATGAATCAAATCAAGTTAAGTAACTAATTACAACTGAATCATACCACTAAATAGTTCAGTTCTTGACACCGAAGCTTCCACGGAGGACCAAAGTGAAGTTTATAAACTTTTTTGACTTCTTGAACTTTTGCTAAKGAAGAACGTTTTGGTGTTGTGGATGAAGTCGGTGTTCCTTCTTGAACTGGGAAAAGAACATCATTTGTTTTTTAGCCTTTTAACCTCWGCCGCCTTGATAAAAAAGACTGACAAAACAAGTGATGAATTGTTTTTAAGTAGCTGTAAAATGACYACTAGTGATSCGTTTTTACAATAATCTTACAGACCTGTTTCCTTATTTTCTTGTCGTTTTCGTCTGGACTTTTSCTTTCTTTTGAAGTCATAAGACGTCAGGTTGTACAAGATAGTTGATACAAACCCAACAATTACGATAAACAAAGTTTGATTCTAAGCAAAAACAATATTGTTAGACGTTATTTACTACTATAGTCGCCATCTTGAATAATCAATGTATACAAGGATCAACGTTTTACGTTATATGTATCTTTAGTTATAATTATTCTCAAATTCATATCAAAATGTTAAGAGCTTGTAGTTTTTTTCCAAGATGGCGTCCACATTGGTCTTTAGTATCACTGCCTCGTGTTCCTATGTGCTATGAAGGAGGGGGAGGGGACAGGAATATGAAAAATCGAATTGGTTGTTCTGGCTCATCAGAAATGGAAAATGAAAAAATGGGTTTTCACGCAATGGAAATTATGAAAAATCTGAATGGAAAATGGGAAAGACTTTTAAGTCTTTTAAAAACATTTCATCTTTTTGTGTAAGAATCATATATAATAGCAAAATGATAAAGCATCAGGGATCGATTTTTTTTGTAACCCCGTATATACTCGCAGACAATTTTAATGAATATGAAATTGTAATTTTTCTCAAACTTCTTGGAGAGAAAAATTGGACGTTTTATATACAAATATGCATTGTATATTTTATCAACCCTACAGTGCCTTAACTAAAGTTGAGAGTTTGGTTAGATACTTATCTATATAGCATTATTACCCCAAATGCACTTTGAGTCTCTTTTGAGATATTTTTTCCTTTGCTGTACGCTAGAAAAACCCACGTGACAAGGTGAAGAACCAGTCCTACAGATGACTTTTGTGTGGAGCTGTTGGMCAAATATCATRTCAGTAAATATCATCAAAACAAAAACATTAGACTTAAAAATGTCGCATGGTGGAAAGGGTTTTCTAGGATAAATGCACTAATAGCTCAAGCARGCCGACTAACAAGAAATGTGCTGAAATATCGCCTTTCTATAAGATATACATAAAAATGAAATTAATTCTTGCTAGTTTATTAACGGAATACAGTCAAAACAATCAATGATTTTCCTAATAAACTCTACTTTGTACCTTCYAATACAATTTCTATTTTCAGATATATAATGAACTAGTAGTTTTCTAAATGGTTTTTGAATTTCTTGTTGTTTTTTTTTTCTCTGAAAAATTAAATGATATTTTCTTTCACTCTCTGAGCGACTCCCGAGAGATCAACAACTAAAGTAAGTACCATAATTAAGTTTATATTTCATATAAGTAACTAAGACCAAATCCGCCTACCTCTGAAGAACATCCTCGAGTTGCCTTGCATGGCTTCTTTGCACCGGTGTAATTTCATTGATAAAAAACCCAGTCATTCCMAGAATAGTTAAAAAACACGAGTAGAAAACAAACGGAAAAAAGTAWGCTAGTGCTATAATTGGTATCGATGGATTGACCATACATCCAACACAAGGAGCAAGAAGAAAAGGCCAAAAGAATAAAACCCCGACCGAGCCAAACAGATGAATTGTTATTTTATCTTTCAGACAAAACCATGTCCCACATGTGTTTGCCGTGTCATGTTTTTGTGCATAACACTTCATCAGTGCTATTGTAACCACTTTTGATAACTGAGATATGAAGTAAAGCCAGCCAAAACCGCTAGGAGTAAGATCCACAACACACCTAAAGAACAAGAACCCGTACGAATGCCACGCAGTCGTTGTAAGCTGCTGTAGTACAGTAGGAGTTGTGTTGTGAATCCATAACTTGAAGGACTTCAAGTAGCTTTCTCTTGATTCCCGCCTCAGTGTTTGTTCATCCACCTCCGCTGGTATAGTATGCATCTCAAGTCTGATTGACAGTTCGCCCGCATAACCGTTGCATTTACAAACAGCCAAGAAATTAAACTTAAAGAATCAATAAATCCAAGTCGTCTACAGTCGCGTTGAYAAACTCCTCATTGTCGCGTTTACGTACGGAATGTACACCGATTTAACGATATGTGTTGGTTCTGTGCAAGCTCTGGTAGGCGAACTAATTCCAGCGTTTTTGTCGCCATAAAAAATTAATGACCAGAAAACCAAAGACTCGCCAAACTCATTTAGTTCTTTTTGTAATGGCACACAATTGGCAACTCGGGAGTAATCCTTACAAATGTAAAGCTGTTTTGAAAAAAAGTGAACTTTCAGGAAATGCGGCTTTTCTTTGTTCTACAGTAACTTTTTTTCGAGTTCTTTTTCATAATAAGCATTACGATTTAATCCCGTGGGCAAGTAGATTCTAGAAACCATTACGAGTTACTTCTGGTGTAAACATATCCTTAATGAGAACTTCAGTATAATTGTGTTAAAAAAACCCTTCAATATATTGAAAAAGAAATGATTTGCTAAAGTGTCGGTTTTAAATAGATTACGACAGGTAATTTGATTCGTAAACAAAATAAAAACAATGAGACGGATATGTGAATCGCCAATCGTGTATGGCCCTTGAAGATGCAAACAATCTACGTAAGTTATACATAATATACGATAAGTTGTGCCCGTATAGCCGTATAGAACGTTAATCAACCCTAAACAATGCAATTTGTTAATTTGAATAAGTAATACCAAGGTACCTGTCGACTAATAGAGTAATTGGGCTATAAATAAGTTAATATATAAACAGTTGGAACCGTCAAAGAATAGCAATCTCGTCGTATCGAATGCTCGTTAACTAGTTTTAACTACGGTATAATAGCTACACTTAACACCTCTCTTTTTTCTGTCTCTCCAGTGGAAAACATTTAACAATAATGCAGCTTTCAAAAATTTATATTCTTATCAAGAGTAAGAATATACTTTGCACCTAATTCTCTCTCTCTCTCTCTCTCCAGTCGAAAACAATCAACAATGATACAACTTTCCAAAATATTTATTATTTTTATATTAGAATAAATTCTTATCAATAAGAATATACTATTTTGATAGTTCCTATAACGTTATACAGTCTGTAGTAAAATTGTTTTCTTAAATAACAATCAAGCGATATTTTTCTGAAATAATTGTTTTAGTGAATGTTTCAAATGTGGTAACGTAGGTCTTGCAAACACCTAGACGTTTTAATGGTGGATTTGTTTTTAGCGCGAAAACTAATACAATTATACCGAAAAGCGCACTAGGCTTACGAGGAATCGTGGTTTTGATGTTGTAATTTACTAATGGCTTAATTATTKTAATACTATTATTTATTAATCCCGTCTAAAGATAACAACTTTAAAAGTGTAGAATTTTCTATTCAATTAATACCTTTGGATATCTATATCTCTACTCTATCAATTGTATTTATAAAAAATTGTCTGAAAAAGAGAATGAAAAATCCAATATGGCGTCACKAATGTCTAATCCCCCATTATCCTTTGCGGCTACAAAAAGTACAATTAGAAAAGGATTCTATTTTAATTGTTACTATTCTTGGTCTGAAGGCACATAGCGGACCAGTTCAAATAACAATTGTTCGTCCAATATTATGTAATTTAGTCTGATGAAGACATTTTTAAATGTCTTAAACTTAAAAGTTTAATTATTATCATTTTTGTTGTAGCAAGAATTTAAAGTATAAAATAGTGACAACCGCATGAGAAAGGTGTGATTGTGTCAATAAAACAATGTCATTGATATAACCAGCTAAAGATCAGTCTAGTAGTCCCTTATTGAGCCCCAAGTAAAATGGTTGTTAAATGTCAGGTATAGTGGCAACGTAATGCTACTAGTATAGTGACGAAACGTAAGTAGTAACGTACAAAGTCGTATAGCGTAATACAACGTATCGTGAGAAACGTAATGCAGCCATTAACGCAACGTAAGTTATCAACGCTACCATAACGCGGCGAGTAACGAAAGGTAAATCATATCAGAGACGACGGCCGGCAGACACAATGTTACGTAAACGCAACATAGTTGCCACAATGTAACGCAACATAGTGTAAGACGGATTGTGTTCATTCTGACTTTCTCCCCCAATTCTTGCGTCAAACGTCTGTTGATTTTAAAGCTTCAAGTTTGCGAAGGTGTGATTCGTCACAAAGTGGTTGATCATCGCGTTGTTGAATTGTAGGAGGACTGTATTCTATAAAGAAAGAAGATCGTAAAATGTTTTTAGTATAAAAAACTATGGGATGTCCGGACACAAAGAATGAAATCTATGGATTGCGGGAATTCGAGAATGCAATGACGTCCAATTTTGTATCATAAAAACATCGAAAACCAAAGCAACTTTTAATACTTTGATACGGTCATTTAATTATTGAAACAAAAAATTCACAACGAGTTATGTATCGATACAAATGTGTGCCTTAACCACCTTTATATCCCATAATTTTTAAAAAACACGCGATGGCGGCCACTTTCGTAATATAACTGATGTATCGATAAACAGACAACAACAACATGCTCGCGGTAATCAGAGAAATCTCATAATTCATATCGGCGACATTTATTGTTTTTATAGTATTTCTTACTTGTATCAGTGCTTTGTTTGTTCTTTTTCATCAGTCTTTCGAAAGGTCTTCGTTGAAAGAAAAACGCCACAAGAACAAATCCTATAAGAGCCTCGATTCCAGGGATGACAGAAAATGAGAGTCTCACGTGATCACTACATTCCAGGCAATCTAAGTTATCCCTAGGGCAAAAAAAGTCATGTTAGAGCAGAGTCACTTGAACCATGAAATAGAAACTAAATACTTAGTTACTAATAGGCACTATTTTAGACACTATCACTGAACCAGAACAGTACAAAGAGATTACTTTGATTGTTAAAGTGGTCTCTTGGGTATTGCTTATTGGATCAAATAAACTGTTCTGGTTCAGTGCTAACGACTATTAGGAACTAATAGTGCCTATTAGTTAGTACTTTTTAGTTCTTATTTCATGGTTCATGTGACTCTGCTCTAGTGATGTCGATAATTTGACAGTGCGGAGAATTTGTGAAAATCTAAAGAATATGTTCAGATACGCCACAACTTTTGCCTACAACCATTGCATGTAACATGCCCAAGTCATCCTTACAACATGGCTACAGCTGTCTCAGGGCTATTAAATAATAATTTTGAATATCATTATGACAGTTGTAGCAATTTTGTAAAGATGAGTTGGGCTAGTTGCAGCGACACTTGCAACAAACATTGTGTCGTCTAATTCGGCGTTCAAAAATCAGGCCATCTTCCAACGGTGGACACCAAAAACTGCTTAAATGGAATTTCAATCTTCATGACTTCAGCTCATGTAATAATAGACGTTTGAAACGGTCCCGTCACATGAAAAAATCATTCAAACTCTATGATTTATCGCTTACTCTTGTCCTTTAGGGTAGGTTTCTTGTAAACCCAAGATAATAAGACCAAGTGATAACTTGTCAACAAAAGCCATTGCAGAGTAAATCATTCCACTTGAATGCTGCGAGAAAATAAAATACGCAGTATTAAAGATATATTGGATATATGTTATACAACGAGAGACTGTCAAAGAACAACGAAATGTTGATGAACGGTTGATTGGCAATCGACTAAAACGATTTATATTTATAAAATGATTGACTGAATGACTGATTAATAAACTGGTTAATAATAAAATTTTGCTGATTCTGACTAACGTTAGTATGCGTGCCTGAAAATAGCAACTGACTGACATCTTGACAAACTTTGAAAATTCCGACGAAAGATAATTAACGAAACCTCAGTAAGTTTAGTGTCTCATCTACTTTTTTACGGTGTTAAATTTATCTTTTCGCACAACTATTTCTGACCCACCTAATGAACGACTGACTGACATCGCTTATTACTATATTTCCCGGTAAGAAGTCATCCTATTACAAATTACCTTATCGTCACCGATCAGGTCAGCTACCAAAGCAAGCGATGTCACAACCATAACGGACATACCGCATCCCATAATGACAGTGGGCGCATAAATAGCGTTTCTTGTTTCCATAGGCGTAAAAAAGAACCAAGCGGCAGAACCAATCGTCAAAATACAAGCRGAACAATATAAAACCTAAAAACAACAATGAAAATGGTCAATTATATATATTGAACTGCAGTTTGTATTAAGGAATTACGTGAACTTTCMAAAGAAAAACCAAGCTTTTCAGTTGACTGGGTATTCATGTGACCAGCTATCACTCCCAATTTTGTGCGTTTTTCTTTTTTTATTCATGACATAAGGTCAGCTTGTGAAGTTCTTAATTAGTCATTGTGATTGGTTGGCCAGAAYAATAGGATCTGGTTTTTATGCTTCGTTCTTAACTGAAGTTCACTCTGAATTGAGCTRACCAATTACCATCGATGTTCTTTGGAGCTGCGACCTTATTCATCGAAAATGCCAGAGTAGTTAAAAAGTTTCTTTTCTAGAGAATCATTCTGTTTTTACAAAAACTAAGCATTACTTACTCTATTCGAGAATTTTCTGTTTAAATATTTAACTGTAAAACTAGCAATGATACCACAGACGAGGACGATGAGAGGGAAGTATGCGATAGCTTCCTGCAAGAAATACAAACRTACATCATAAGACCAAGCTTCCTCGGCAACCCAACTAGTGGGGACTTCCTTTTSAACTGTCCTCTTCAGAAACAAGACCGTGGCTCATAGGGATGCCWGGRCGGAGGGAGACRGAGGAGGGYATTTAATTTTATTCTATAGRATATACATCATATACATAATAAATCATTCACATTGATTGGCTAGCCAAKCTCTTTACTCCGACGAAAGATTAACGTCCGAAATGTCAGTAAGTTATTTCACATACTTTTTTTACGGTGTTAAATTTATCTTTTTTTATACAACAATCTCGGGTTGTACACAAATTCTACATTCTTATTGGCTATCACTACTGACAGACAAGACTTCAATAGCCAATCACAATGCTGGATTCGTRAYATYTCACAATTTGACGGATACTCATATTCAAATAACAAATGACTAGGAATGGATGAGCAAATCGATTGAAAAAATGAATAAACGATGAAAGAATGGGAAAACTTAACATACCTTGGGAAACTGCATAGCTTGTGTTAGATACAAAGGAAAGTATGACTGAACCAGGTTAAGAACGTTTTGTGTGGTCATGTATATTAACATCATCTGTAAAAAAGATATATATACATTAGTTATATGTACAGCAAATTGAATMAATGTTAGCATATCAGCTGGTATATATAATAGATCATAGATGCTAAGCCCGAAGTGATGCATGGGCTACTGGCTACTGAATACTATGGTTTTAAGTTATTGCATGAGCGCTTGGAAATAAAACTTATATCTCAGTAAGTCTTTACTGGAATATGTTAAGTGACGCTATTTTATCGAGCAATAAGGTATAAAGCTTTATTATTTTGCATATCCTCACTGATTTTCTTGTGCAAAAATGAAACCAGTTTTTGGCTTTTGTAAAGGAAACACAAAAACTTATTTTGTAATTTGCGGACATAAAAGAGTACGAGGACTTTCCTATAGGGATCACTTCTAGAAAATAACGAAGGTGGACCGCATTTCTTATTGATATCGCACGAGTGAGCGCACCAAGTGAGCGCAATACGAATCACATTCGAAGAAGATAAAGTCAAGCGTTCATATCATAATGTTCAGTTATATAAACTCTCTCGGCTCTCCTACCCTGCGAGCAGAGTGTATTTCCTTACCTCAATAAAAATTCGCGAATTTTTATTGACGTAAGGAAATACATTCTGCTCGCAGGGTAGGCTCTCCTTACCAAATATAAATCTGGTGTTTTTAGCCATTGTCTCCAGGTTTTTGGAGATGTACCGGGGTCTAATGTGACAATTTCAAGATGTTGTTCGTCCTCCTGTAGAGCTCTCTTTTCTGGATCGTTTGATGTTGATGGTTGTGATGGCTTCTCTCGTATCGACACTTGTTCTTAAAAATAATAACAACAAAGTTAGATTCAGCTTTCTGCAATGTATCGATCAACATATGTACTTTACCTCTTTTTCCTAGCGGACGATTTCGACCGACCTCGTCGACACCCCAGTGAAATAYTATAGCGAATAGACCCCCGGTGATGATAACGATAATCGTCTGATACTGTASATATCAAAAAATAAAGAAAGAATAAACTAATATCAAGTTTTTAATTTCAGCTGTTGGCAAAACGTTTGTAAAAGTTTGGGTTCTTCGCAAAAAGAAAAATGAAACACAGCAGTCTGACAAATAGAGAATAGAATAAACTTTGATGTATAGGGCTGTAGTAATGATACTTCAGCAAGGTGTTACATCATCATTTTTGTCGAGAGCTGTAGAAGAAGGTCATACTGTCAAGTCAMTATGGCTCTTTCGTTCTCTCCTCGCTTTCCAACATGTTTTATTACYGAASAAAAATCTCCACGCGGKTCCAAATTCTTACCGTAAAAGGCTTTTGTACTGTTTCGTCTATTTTTTCACTACTGTCTTGTCCTAATAATATCCACGTTATAACATAGATATAAACACCACATCCTAGTTTGAGCGCAGACCTGAAAATGTACAATATAATAGAACGATTTAGGACGATTTAGTCTGTGTATGATGTATCTGGTTTAGAGTGGGAAGATGTCTTTGGTCAGCAAAACAAATTGCTTGTTGATACACCGTTAACTTGATATTTCAAATTTTACACTGTAATCCTGTAAGTGATCAGGGTTCCTGAAGTGACTTAAAACTAGTCGAGGAAGGTTATTTGTTATTTATTGTTCTATATAAATATAACGTTTGATTAAAATGATTTTTTGCCACGATCACGTGATATGTGACGCCATATAGGGSTTTGACTTACGATAAGTCAAATGAGGAGGAATTCTTTTGGACCCGCAGTCTGAGAAACTACGGAAAGCTCGAGAAAATGTACCCTGGTTCCAGAGRCTTGTCTTTTATTCTTTTGCTTATAATATAGTAAGCTAAAGAATAAAAGACAATCCTCTGGAATCAGGGAAACCATGGTAGAGAAAATTGTACGCTGTGAAAGAGTCTAGACGTGTTCCGGTGTCAGACAGATACAGTTCTAAAAGAGAAACCTAGACTCGGGCGAGCCGTGTACACAATTCCACTACATTTTGTAAACATGATATGTCGCGTGTTAATTCCTTGTCTATAATATACGAAATGTATATCAAAGGAAATGACGTGAACAGATATAAATCCGGCAGAAAGGAAATTGTTCGTCCCGAGGGTGAAAGCTGATTTGAGTAAGGAAGGGGTTAGCTAAAAAGCTAACGATCTCTAACTCTATGCATATTAAACATGAGATATTCTCTAGAAGTGTTGTGATCTGTTATAAAGAGTGCTTGAAAGCTCACGTGACATTGCACGTGAGATGCAGATACGTTATGTAATTCTCGAGTCAGCAAATACAATAATCAGATTTTTTATGTGTCGAAACAAGCCATGCCAAAACCGGAAAAGGGTTTAGTATTGAAACCTTGACCTCACAGGGATTTTCACAGCTATAGGGTTATAGATATGCCTGCGTTATGTGATTTGGTCMGTAGACGTGCAAAACCATGCCACGGRGAAATCAGAAATGAWATGTGAACAAATACCGAGAAAGCAAAAGAAAAGAAAGAACATTTGATGATAAAAGAACAAAGGCCACAGATCAACGTTGAGATATTGYAATTACTATAAAAGGTTTCCATCACAGGGGAAAAATAAAGTTAAGAAGCAAAAGTATTATTGAGCAGGAAATCCGGCAAAGAAAAAGAAAACCTTATGGCCATAGTAAAATGAAAATTCGCAATAAGCAGCTTAGTGGGAGATATAATTTGACCAGAGTAAAGATTTATTAAGATATCATAAATTATCATTATTTATACGTTGTTGGAGCGCTTTTTCTTTCGGTGGACTATTCGGATGAAAGTCATATTTTCAGGTCAAAAAAAAAAATACCACTCAAAATATTGGTCCTACTCACTACAAATGTTATTCTTTTTTAAATTCTTATCAGTATATCAGTTCTTTTGTTCCGCGGCAAAGTAAAATGGCTTATCAAGATAAATTAGTCATTTAGTTGTTCTGAAGATAAAAGAAGGATTTGAACGAACAAAGAACAAATAAAAACTGATCCCATGACGGTAGCCCACCAGGCCGATTGAATAACGCCGGATGTTGGGTGACCTGTCCAGAATTTGATTGAGGGCGCGCTGCATGCGAAGAAGATAGCAGTCGTGTTTTTAGACTAGCCTTCTCTACTTCACCTCCACATACCTTAGACTAATCATAATAGATAAAACATGGATAATAATGTAAAGTACGTAAACAAAAAGCAAAATGCCTTTCAAACTAACTGATAATGACAAACAAGACACGGTTCATGGAACTTCTTTCAAAAGTAATCATACCACGATTAAAACTTTTCCAAACACTAAAATGTACTACATATTACTTAGCTTACTTATAAGTAACCAGAATTATATTATTGATTTTTAAAGCAAAACCAATAGTTCAATAAAGTTCCCGTTTTAATAATCCCTCCTTACATTGCGTAACAAAGTCACGCGGACTTTTTAGGACACGGCAAGCGTAGATACTGAAAATATTTTGTTTAAACAAAAGTTTGGTTTTCATGTACAATTTCTTTGTTGAAAGACGCGTCCGCCTTACCTTATAGCGCCAAGTTCAAGGGCGTCTTTAGCTCTTCTTGCTACATGGGGCATTAGAGACAAATGACTAATTTCCACCATCGGCCAGAAAAAACTAAATAAAGCAGTCAGTACTCCATAATAGGTTACAATAACCCATTCTTCAACTCCTTCATCGCATAAAAGACATCGCGAATAAAGAAATGGCCAAACGAGAGCCATTCCRGCACTACCAAATAAATGCCARATCTTTCTATTGCCATATCGTTCTCCAACTCTTTTAGAAATTTGTTTATCGCAGGCGTATCCAATGAACGGTGTTGAGATAGCATCGGCGATTTGTGAAATAAGGAAAATGTAGCCAACGTTCGTTGAACTGAGTTTGATGACTTTGGTAAAGTATATAATAATATAGCTAAACCATGCTTGGATACACAAGTCATTGAATACATGACCTACACCGTAGCAAATCTTCTGTTTTAATGGTGTTTTGTCCACTGTTTTTTTCTTGTCTCTCCCGAGGCATTTTGTCATCAGAACTTGGTTCAAAGGCTGAAGAAAAGACATGCAACTCTCCATTTTTTAACCGCAGTTTGAGCGATGCCTGTTCGCTGTGAAGAMACAACGCAAAAGACCTCAAAGTTAAATATTAATATTTTTGARAGAAACTTGAACGCTTTAGATCCAAATACGGCATTGATGACATATGATCTTGGCCTTGAAATGATAGGGTCTCGAGGTAACATACAAAAACTATCGCCACCATCGATCTAAACTTCTAACAATCGATATATAGTTCATGATATTTTAAACTCTTTAACCACATATAGAAAGTGCAAAGCATCGSGTTTTTTATGGACTTTGTACTGTCAAWTTTTTCCTTTGGAAAACCGTTGATTAAATCAGTCCTAAAAATAATTTCTGAACACCATGAAATAACAAAAAAGTGGCCTACCTTGAAGAAACAGAAAATATTCAACCTTCTTTTGCCGAGAGCGTATATTCACGACAAGTTGACTTGATGGATTTTCCCTTGGCTGTTATTTATATTCAACGTTCTGCATGTATTATTTCTAAGTTCACGTATTTACCTTAAACCATAAAGCGATTTCTACACATTAAACTTCAAATTTTACACGCAAAGCTCGAATATTAACGTAGTAGAGCTAGGAGAGCTTTCTCAGCTTAAACTGGTCGAAGAAAACTGCTCGGCAGGCCAACCGTTCGCAAAGATCTCGAGAATTGCAGACAAAGAGCTCAGCTTGACATATGATTTCATCAGCCTCGGTTGTTTTGAAGCTGAAAGCCAAAGTTATCCCTAGGGGGAGGGAGTGAATATCAAAAAAAAGAATTCTAATAATTCTAATATTCAAAGCGATTTGAGTTCAAAATAATCAGATTTGAAAAGAAATAAGTACATTTTGAACTTATTCAATCTAAATTTGAATAAAACTGGTCCTTTTGAAGTGCAATAAAGACATTTGCGAATCACTTTTTTGTCTCCCTTCCCTGGCCTTTGTTCACGTCACGCTCAATTACACTTAGCACGTGACGTCATGCGGTCACGCGCTCAACATTTGCATAAGAACAATGATCATGTAAAAAACCGGCTTTGCTAGGTAACAAAGTCACAGCTCTAACAATTTCAAAATGAACCTCATATGAGAAGCTGTTTCAGCTTCTACACTTTTATTTTTGGCGATAATGAAGTCTTTAAGGCAAAATAAAGCGAAATATAATTTTTTGTCGATTTTCAGGTGATCGGCTTGAACCAATCATGGTTGAGTGAGCCCGTGTGATGTTCACGTGTTCGTTTCACCAGCTGACGGCAGCATCCGCCCAATTCAGCTCAATCTCATGTGATCTTTTATCACTATATAAACTGAAACGCTTTCGGTTTAATTGAAAGCCATTGAACTCTAGTGTTTTCTTTGGATTTCTATATCTGACATTTCATTTTCAACAAAAGAACGAAGCCAGGAGAGATTTAGCTTTCACGTAAGTCATATATATATCGAATTGGCGGTGGTTGTTTTTTTCTAACCAAAAAAAAAGCATTTGAATGAATTTTCATGGCTTAACACTAGTCACGACAAGCAAGATCTCCTTGAAAAAATAATTAGAAAGAATTTGCTGATTATGCGGAAAAATTCATATTGTGATTATTGTAAAAAAACAATATTGCATCGCCATCGGTGAAAAAAATTGAAAAAATGTATATCCTAATATTACAAGTTGATAAAAGGCAGAATTAAAAGAAATTGCGGGGATATTTTATATGTGAAACTGAAAGAGGGAGTCAATGAAATCCAAGCTGTATTTAGGAGAGTAACCAGTTAAAAATAAAAGTACTTTCCAATGTTTTTAGTATATTGGTAAATTTCCGCTTACGTTTCGGTCGCTATTATGGAATCAAATAAATATAAATATTGTTAAAAACCTCTCTAGGAATTATTTTTGGTCGTCCGCCAACAACGATACGGAATCCCGGTAGAATTTCACTTTCACGACAGTTCGTAAATCTGTTTGAATAAAATCACGTAAAACTGTCAAGAGTGAAGAGGCTACCGGGTTAAGATCGTCTCGAGTTCATTTTCGTTTTCGTACATAACTTTCAATCCATTACCATTGTGTTGTAAAAACATAAAGACAGCAACGTCATTTTTGCATTAAAATGTTTTTTTTTACATGATTTTCTGGAAGAATTTCATTTAAAACTAAAGATAAATAGCAAATGAAATGTTATTGACATTTATCATATCATTATCATTTATTTAATATTTATCATCTATGAAATGCCTATATTTCTCCATTTCGTAAACTTGATATCTTCACTAGTGAAAATGACACAGAATATTACGTGTTCGTTTGGAGATACGAATTTTATCTTCTCGTGTTGAAAATCTTTTCTTCGCCCATGTAATATCCTCTATTTAATTTATACAATAAGTCTTACAGCTTGATATTTTTCAGTATATTTTGTAAATCTCTCAAAATAATAAAACGTACGTAATTCCATGCAAAGGACGTTGTTGTTTAAAAGTAAACAATTACGTTAATGGATTGACTTATGACCAACCAACCAATTACCGAAAGTTCACTAATTGCTTCCTCACATGAATAATTTTGGGCTACCTGTGTACCTGTGGGTCTAGGGACCCTTGAGGCTCATTATTTGTTATTTGTCGTTTAGAACAGTTTTTGTTCCAATGACTGGACCTCTGACATGTATCATAACAGCTGTTAGATTTCGTGCATGTTATTCTACAGTGTTTTTCATTTGACCTTGAAACGAAAATGACAATTTAGGGTAAGATTTAATGATAACTCGGAAAAAACATAACTATATCAACGAAAAACTCGTAGCTAAGTGCAAAT